AGAGAGAGAGAGAGAGAGAGAGAGAGAGAGGCAGAGAGAGAGAAAGAGAGAGAAGATTGACGCTCTTTGTCGTGCATTCGATGACGCAGCAATATCCCTCTGAGAATCCTACCCTCTAAAATCCCAACCCAATCCAACCCCCGCTCCAGCGTAAGTGACATACATGCATACACACCCACACGTATATACAGTCATACATACCTCTCTCAGCTTCGTGAAAAGACACAGGCGTATATACAGATACACCGTATACTTGTACACAGAACATACTCTCCCACGTTCATAAGGATAATTAAACGGAAGTACACAGACACACGCGCGCGCGCGTACGTGCACGTGAACGCAGCTTTTATTATAATATATTCTGTATAAATAGTTAATTCAATTGTGAAAATAAGATGAGGGAGTGCGGGCGAAATTCGATTGGGAGAATCGTTTTGCGAGCACGCGTTGACTCGATTTCTTTTTTTTTTGTTACGGAAAAGCAGGAGAGTGAGGAAACAAAGGATCGGACAAGAGATCGGTAGAAACGATTCGATTTCGTCGTTATTTTCTTCTCCCACTTTTTTCCACGAGACTCTGCATCCGTGCAAAAATACAGAAAAGGTGAGTACACGCGAAGCAAGGAAGGAGAAACGGGGAAAGCGAATGGCTGATATTGAAAATGATGGAACTTTACATTATCATTCTATTATGCACTAATAGTGTTATGCAACGTTCTGTTACGGGCTTGAAAATGTACGTATTTGTACTCGGCTTGCAACATCAAAGATTCACGTTGATATTTATTATTTCTCCATTTCCGTTTGACATTGTTCGATTCTCTGCAACGCGTTTCTGTCCAATAATTATGTTTAACAACACTCTGATGATGACGCGAAAAACCGTATTTGTGTCATAATTAAAATTGGTTTACATAATAAATTATCGAAATTTCGGAAAGACGTGGCATTGAAATATGATTTATATTAAATTATATCGATTTTATATCACACAGTTTTAATTATATCTAATGAAGATTTCTCGAATTCTTGAGAGAACGGATCGATTAGCGGAAGAAGCCATCAACGGCAATTAAAAACTTAAGATAAAACCTAATGTTTTTTATAAATCGTACATTCATCTATCGACCGGTGTACAGCGTCAATCAAGCGAAAACAAGCGGAAATGATCATCGAGGTGCTCGTAGACGTAAGATGCGCGTTTCTGTAATTATGTTAGTGGTCGCGGACTCCCCTTTTGAAAACAATTGGCTTGAAATTCGCATTAGGAAAGTCGTTTCCTTATCCTTTCTTCGACAAACACGGGTTCAATTACATCATTGCAATATGCCTTTCACGGAAATGCGTTATTGAACTCGCCTATTCTTTTGTGCATCTACGTACATTCAGCCGTGACTATTACTGCGGCCATTCACGAATTCCAGCGAAACTTCCTTATCTTCGTGCTTTCGATCCTTGTCGTATTCTTTTTTTCCTCCGATGCGCTCGTTTTTGTCGTCGATCCCAACATTCCGATATTTTTGTTACTCCGTACACTTCGCCATACGTTAAAATTATCATTGTCGTTTTTATCCCGATAGCATATTCGTTTCGAATGCGCAATCGAATGAAGGAAGAGGTGGAATGCAATCAGTTTTCCAATCGATATGTATCTCTTCCAATCGCTCGTCCCTCATTCCCCCGTTACGATTTACATCGGAGGAATCTTTATATTTCTATACAAATCTTATCGCATGCGCGTCCCTGATATACGTAAATACGTTAACGAGCAAACGATGGTAGAAAGTAAGAGAAAGAGAGAAACGAGCATGCGAATGAGGGAACAGAAGCGAGGGGGAAGAGCGTTTTCGAAGAAAGGGAATGAATTTCCGAGAGACCTTTACAGCGCGCGATACGCCAGACAAAGCATGTTTTATTAAAAAAAAGAGAGAAAAAAAATTTTAATGAAATTAAAACGTCGATTATACGCGAGAGCGAATTCGCGACGAATAAGGGTACGAAATAATAAAAACGCCCCTCGTTAACGCCACCATGCGTCACGCGAGGACGCGTGTCTCGTTGATCTCTCGACGATCGAGACACGACGGTTCGTTCGGAAGGATGGATCATCATCGGTGTACCATTCTCTCTGATCGACGGAACGCGCGACGAGCGAAATGAGAGCACGACGAGTAGAAGGCGAGGGAGCGAGAGACGGGGGGGAGAAAGAGCGTAAGACAAAAATTTTATCAATATTTTCAATACACTCGCGTACACGCAAATCTTGTATAAAAAGTTTTAATATAACGCAATCTGCTCCTGCCGGGAGCCGGGCGACGCGTCGGCAACGCATCGGTGTTCCTCGCAACATATCCCGCTCGAAATTTATTCAGGAACAATCCCGACGAATGGGATTCCGCGCGAGAGACGCGGGAACGATCCCGAGATTGTGCGAGCCATCCGATTCTTCCTGCTTAAAAGAGGGACGTCGGCGCTGCACGTTGTGCCTCGCGCGATCGGCGTTCTAGTATACTAAAAGCTAATGAAAAAAAAAACAAACAAAGGATAACCCACGTATACCGAAAGACTCAGGTGCGAGAAAAGTCAGTATAGTTATTGTCCTGATTAAATCTGAGAAGAATTACTCAAATTCGTAAGTTACATCGTGCGTGCGTCGTGCGAGCGCGCACGCACGGGGCTCCTCTACGTGAGACGCGCGCTAATCGATCGTACGATCGTCGACTGTATTCCCCCGCGAGGGGGAGGGATGTAAGGAGGGATTCCACGGCTGTTGAAATCCGTCGAGAGAGTCCTTCGGCGCGAGCCGCGCGAGCTTTCTCGTCGGGGAAATTAATCGCCATCATCGCGACGGATGAAAATACGATAATAGTATACGATAAGACGAACGGAAATTCTATACGTTTTACGCGTGATTACGTCGCCGAGATTACATGCGCAGAGACCGCCGATGAAGATCTCGCGGACCGGTGTTCGTGGATCGATCTTGCGTTGAAAAGATCGGATTACGAATATGCCGCCTTTTTTTTTATTAAATAATAAATTTGATTAATTTTCACAATTTTTACTCGTCAATTTTTATCGATCGACCGTGTCACTCGACAATTTTCACATGTGCAAGGATCGATTCTAGGAGAGCGCGTTTAATTTCGGCGCGCGGAATCATCCCAGGGCTAAAATTAATATTATATTATTTACTATTTAATGATAAAGCTATAAATATAGTTACAGAGAATGCAGACAATCACAAGAACTCGGTGACGGCCGACATTTCCTCTGTCGCGCGTAGCACCAAAGGCA